GGAGCCCTTGTCTTATTGGATGCAGATCCAATACCCACTAGGGAAGGACCCATTAGGGTTTGACACGGGATCTCTATAAATAGGAGGGATTCACAGCCTCATAGGCTAGAGTCTTTGCTTGCCTTTCCTATTCTCCTCTCCCTCTTCACCTCAGAGTAGGCCTGGAGTTTTGAGGAGCATCGTCGCAACCCTGCTGTGTGGAACACCGCTAGAGAGGAGGACGCTTGACCTCCTTCACCCTCTCCTAAGGATCTGTAAGGAAACAGGGATATACGATCTCCCTAGGTAACACAATCTCTATACGCAGTTTTGTGTTTTGCGGATTTTTGCGCACCAATCTTCGCACGACGACGAACATCTTTTTGGGAATCGGGGATTTTTGTTTTCTTGTTCTTCCGCTGCGCATGTGATGTCGCCCCCATGATTTCCCAACAACTCCACGAGGGACCAGAAGAATCTGGATGGTCGCAGGCCCATCATGAACGCCTGGATTAACAGAGAGGGATGAGCATCCGCCAACCCCTGGATTTGTGTTGTAAAGCGATTCACAAAATGGGAGAGGGGCTCGTCCTCCCTCTGGTTGAGTCTGAGGAGTAGTGCAACGTACAGCTTTGGCCAGGCGTAGGCCAAGAAGTTGAGCACGAAGTCTCTGATGAGCTGATCAAAGGAGGTGATCGTCCCGATCCTCAGGTGGCTGTACCATGTGCGAGCTGGCCCTCTCAGAGTTGTGGGGAACGCCCTGCACATCAAAGCATTAGAGGTTCCATACAGCGCCATCGGGGCACGGAAAGCGGCTACGTGGTTCGTTGGGTCAGTGGCGCCGTCATATGGGTCCAGAGAGGGGAGTCGAAAGTTTGCGGGGACCAGTTGGTCCCGTATTTCAGCCACAAACAGCGACCCCCGGTGCGCATCGTCCCCTAGCTCTCCCTTCGAGCTACGGACCTCCTTCTGCACCTCTTCGAGTCGTTGATTGAAAAGGTGCAGTTGGGCCCGGAAGGAGTCCGTCGAGTCCGAAGATATCGTCTCATGCTCGAGTTGGCCGGCAGGGTTTCCCACTACATGGTTTCCAAGGGGAAACGCCCAGGTCCGGGGTGAGCCAGGAAGCGCCAAAGTGGTTCCGTGAGCCGTTGCATATGGCTCCAGTTGACGCGTAGGCGGGGCCGCCGATGGGTTTGCTGATTGGGAAATGAGCGGGATGACAATCTGCACCATTCCCGCCAGAGTTCGGACCTAATGGGCAAGGTCCTGAAAGGCCTCGGTCGACACGGGTGAAGGGACGCGGGGAACGCCTTCTGGTGGAAGCAGACCCAGGTCGTTGAATAGACGCCAATAGCGTTCCGAGGCCACGACGAGGTCATCTGCCAGTTGCCCATCACGCGAGGGGCGCTCGGCCGGCGCCCCTGTTAACAACGATCCCTCGGCTGGGGGTACGTCGGGGTTAGTCTAAGGATCCCTCGATATTCGGGCCCTCATTCTAGCGCCAATCTGTTAGTGTAAACAACTTTATGCTATGGCCTCGGGGCCAACGTGGCTTGTTTCAGGTCCGAATGGCGGGGATCTTGCCTAAGGTCTCTCGGGGTCGTTGATGTGGGCGACCGTCGGGGCTCATCGGGACGTCCCGTAGAGAAGGATCCCCTTCCTCGGCGTTCGGGAAAAGTAGCTTCGTCTTCGTACTTGCACATAGGTCGGGTCGGAGCTCGGCCTGACCCCTCCGACGATCAAGTCAGATGGAGAGAAGAGGTCTCTTTTGTATGTGTTCGATCCCCCCCCCACTCCTTCACTCAGGAGCGGGGTTTTTATAGGATGACTTACTGTGTCTGATGTGCCCGTTTTGCAGGGGGTAGGATCGTACTCCCGGTCGCGTCTGACAGTGGTGTTGGCGTGGCGTGAAGGATTAGCCCTGAGCAGAACGTTTAATGCCCCTCGGCCGGTGCTCCGGTCCGTTTGACCAGGTACTATCGGGTCGACCAAGACATGTGGCGTCATCTGGGGCAGCCGACGTCAGTCCGACTCTTGTCGCCATTATTATCCTCATCAAACTCTAGACCGAAGAGAGGAGATATCGCTTTCGGTGCCTTCCCCCGTCGGCGGCCAGCGGCGTTTCCATGTCCAGTTCCTCAGAAGAATCGACTGGCGTTCTCTCTTCCGTACCTGCAAAGGATGGCTCAAAAACCCCATGAACATTGCTCTTCTTATCTGGCTCCTCAGCGTCGCCGTCTCCGGCACCATGCTGGGCCTCCTCCTCCTCGGACTTCTGAACGACGCGTTCCCCACCAAGTCCCTGCGAT